GAAAGCACTGTTGGGGATACAGCCGTCAATGAAACAGAGTTTCGGTTCTCATGGAGACTACACTTACACAAAGTTAGTAGGTCCCATGTCAGAGGTCAGGACACAGTTTGCAGGTTAAGAAGAAGGATAAAGATTGGAGAAGGAGCAGGGAAGGGACTTCTAATAAGGTGACCTTTGAGCAAAGGTTTGAAGGAAGTGAGGGATGGAATGAGCCATGTGGGGTTCTGAAAAATCGCATCCCAGTAACGCCAGAGGCCCCCAGGCAGGAGTTTGCCCCAGGTGAGAAGCAGCAGGGGCTGGAGGGGCTGGAGCAGAGAGAGCCAGTAGGGAGTGATTAGGAGCGGATCAGGTTGGGGGAGGGCCATCCTGGAGTAGGGAGTGGGGCATCTTAGGGACCATGCCAAAGAGTTGAGATGTTATTCAATGTGAGATGGACAGCCATTGGCAGTTTTTGGAAGAGTGGTCCCTTTCAAACACTTGAAAAACCAGAGTATAGGTATGAAGTCAGGAAAATGGGACACAGTGCTTCCTTCACTTGGAGAGAACATGAACTGTTGTAATCAGGATTGAACTGTCAGAACTTTAATTCACCCAAAGTGGGGAATAAAACAGAAATCATGGTTCTGCACAAAGAAATACTGGCAAGGATGTAGAGAAAAGGGAACCCTCTTCCACTCTTGGTGGGAATGTAAATTGGTGCAGCCACTGTGAAAAAGAGTAGGGAGATTCCTCAAAAAACTAAAAATAGAACTACCGTATAATCAGCAGTTCCACTCCTGGGAATATATCCAAAGAAAACGAAAACACTAATTCGAAAAGATACATGCACCCCAATGTTCATAGTAGCATTACTTACAATAGCTAAGATATGGAAGCAACCTAATTGTCCATCAGCGGATGAATGGATAAAGAAGATGTGGTATATATTTACAATGGAATATTACTCAGCCATAAAAAGAATGAAATCCTGCCATTTGCAGCAATGTTGATGGACCTAGAGGTTATTATACTTAGTGAAATAAGTCAGACAGAGAAAGAAAAGTACTGTATGTTATCACTTATATGTGGAATCTAAAAAATAAAACGAATGAATACAACAACACAGAAACAGATCACAGAGATAGAGAACACACTAGTGGTTACCAGTGGGGAGAGGGAAGGGAGGAGGGGCAAGATAGGAGTAGAGGATTGAGATAGAAACTACTACATATAAAAGAAATAAACAATAAGAATATATTGTACAGCACAGGGAAATATAGCCAATTTTGTAATAGCTTTAAATGGAGTATAATCCATAAAAATATTGAATCACTATGTTGTACACTTGAAACTAATACACTAATGTAAATCAACTATATAAAAAAAGAAATCATGGTTTTGCTTGGCCTTGCAGTAAAAATCACACATGCTTTTTCAATTAGGATAAAACTGAGTAACCATGAGGCATTTACTCAACTGGCAAGAATACTTTTAATGGAGAAGCCCAGCTATTACATTCAGTGATCTGTGTCCTGCTAAGTCTCTTACCCAGCAAGATTCTGGGTATGCTACAGCTGTGAGTGAGAACCGCTCCCCCCCGCCCCCGCCCGCCCCGCACCAGCATTATTGCTGTTGTTGAGCAGATGAGTGTGAGCTTCAGAGTCGAAGAGCAGCTGGTGGATACTTGGGATCAGATTCTAGGAGGCTTCCATGACCCACTTTGCTCTCAGTGGACCCAGAGTCACTCTTGCTGTTTTCCACTCACAGATGACTGGCTCAAGTCTAGAGCTGTGGGGAGCGTGGGCTTGACTAATGGGCCAAAGTTACAAGGAGGGAGTGCGATTTTGGCTCCTGATGAGGTAATCCTTCCTAAAAGTGAGGGCAATGGAGAACTGGAGGGGGCTCTGCCACAAAAGGACCCTCCTGCCTCCGAATGTCTTCAGGCAGGTGAGCACATCTTAGGAATGTTCCTGAAAGGACTTCTGCTTTGTGTGGCATGTTGGACTAGAATGACCTCGCGGATTCATTCCAATGCAAAACACTTCTGAGCCCATGAAAAAGTGTCCAGTGAATGTGTTCTGCAAACACACAGACACTCTGTAAACATGAGGCACATATTTTAAAAGATGAAGAGTGAGATACTTGTTCTGGGAGTACGGTGGTTGGAACTTGGTGCCTTGACAAAATACCTTCCGTGCTTAGTTGCCTGCAGTTTGTTCTCCTTGGCCCAGGACACAGATATCTGCATTATGTGTTAAAATTGCCCTCAGCCAAAGACCAAACAAATAGCCAAAGGCATTTTCCTATCAGGGCCCCTTTATAGGAGGTAGAGCAAAAGAACAAAGCAGTGGAGTTTGATTCTTGGCAGGAAGCCAAGCTGCCGAGGTCTAGCTCCAGTATTTACACGGAAGAAAGAGGAGGGATTTTTAGCTGAGATTAAGTTAGAATTAAAGCAACAGAAAACTTAACACTAAACTAAAGCATCCTCTGGGATCCATAATGGAAAGGCAGAAACAAGGGGATATTTTCGGGCTCTCTGATGATTTTTTTTTTTTTTTTAAGTTCAAATATGAAAGCTTTTAAAAGGTGCCCAAGGCAGAGATTACAGAATGGCCTTGATTAGTGATCCAGGATCACCCACTATTTGAGCTAGACCACCTGTCCTTTAGCAGCCATTGAATCTCATCCCTCGATTTACAGATAATCGGTCAGGGGCCTTGGAACTTGAAGAGCTCCCAACATCACACAACTGGCCGTGGAAGTTCTGGAGCTAGCATCCAAGACTTCTGACAACTATTTTGTTTTAGGCCACTTTACCAGAGGAGCAAACAATTAGAAGCTCTGTTTCCTAAGAGCCAGGGGCAGACAGCCGCACTGACTGTGTTCTGAATAGGCAGTGCCTTCAGTTTCCCAGGATGTGGGCTCATCCTGTGCCCAGTGGTGCCTGCAGCCTCAAGCTTAGTGCAGCACAGCTGGGGGGGGGGGTCTCTGGGCCCACCCCCAGGAGTAGGGGCTGAGATACTGCTGTGAGAGGTCTCAGAGGCCTGCTCCCCCTGGAGGCCCAGTCAGGTGTGAATGGGTCCTACAATCTCGTGAGACTGCAGTGGTCAGGGTCCTACTGAACCCCTCACACAGTCTCCGCAGTGCCCCAGTGGCATTGTGGGTGCTGTTGTTTGGCTTCCTGTGCTGACCGGGGTTCTCTCCTCTTTGACAAAACCTGAACACGCTGGAGCTGCCTTTAAGCAATGGTGCTCTTTTTACATAAAAGCTCCCATAAAGGAACAGCTCCTGCTGACCCCCCATACCCAGGTAACTTTGTCTGTCGAAATCGCCAGCATTTCAGTGAGCTGTTGTCACTTGCTTCTGCAAGGGGTGGTGGAGAGTGGGGCTGCGTGAGTGACCTAAAGGGACGTGGGGTTTCTGTGTGTGTCTCCAAGTGAACCAGTGAGATGTTCAGTATCATTCTTTTGACCTTTCATTCATTTACTCACTCATTTATTCATTTTCTTGTTTGTTTACATTCTGAGTCTAACCAAAAAAAAAAAGTTGGACAAAACTTAGAACAAAGAGTACACATATGCTATACATAAAATATAAATGAAGTCAGGTCACTTGCTTAGAAGGAGGAAACAGATTTCATCCATGAATTATATGAAATCTATGGTAAATATCAACCTTTTCTCTGACTTTTCTGGCAACCAAGATACATAATTCCTAGTTATCAGGAAGGGGGAAAAAAATCCAATTTCTTTAAGAGACTAGTAAGTGTTACTATTCTGGGGCTCGTGTCATCGCTTAATACAAAGCTGCTGGTCCAAGGCACGTCCCTCCCTCCCCCACCCAGTGTCCTAGCATCAGGCCACCTGGAGCACCCCCCAAAAAACACGTTCTCAGTATGTGTGAGGGTGTGGCTTGGGGCAATGGGGTTTCGTTTACGTCTTGAAATTATGTTGTCCGGGGTGACTTTAGGATTTGCAAATTATGAAGCCAGGGGTAGGAATTTTAGGGGGGGGGGTCAGAATCTAGTCCCACTGTGCATACCCACTCTCCACCAATGTACCTTTCCTTTTCCCCAAAGAGCCCTAGGTAGATCCCTTCTCTGGCCCTGTTTTAGGTGTCAAGGTGCTTTCTTGAACAGGACATCCAGAGGGAATAGAGTTTAGCAGAATGCATTTCGAGGAATGTTGGCTCAAAGTATTAGAAGATGGTATGACCCCATCATACCACCTTCTTGGCCCTTGAAAGGGGGGAATGGAACTAGTGGTCATATAGACATGTAGGGTTTAGGAACTAATATTATAGACATATAAGGTGAATACTACTGAAGTCCCACCCTGAGCTCCTAAACTCCGTTCTGAAGTTGTACCAGGAATTTAATTTCTTCCAGACGAAGGAGTCAGTGTTGAGATTCCCATTCCTTTACATACTATGAAAACATGAATTAACTGCATGCTCTCAAGACTTGGAATTTGTCAGGGGATATACCAGAACACTCTAGAACTTGTGAGTATGGCAGGGAAAAGAATTACAGAAATGTTGGACTTTTGTAATAGATGATGTGAGAAAGAAAACACTAGAAAAGTAGTCCCTTCTGTCTGGGGTTCAGATGAGTTACCTGAGTGTCTACTGAAAGTTTATTTTCCATGTAAGCGCATTCATACATTGCACATTCGTAGATGCCTGTGTTTTAGAATTGCATCATTACTAAAGAAAGGAGTATTTCCAAGTGAGAAGTAGCCTCGGTGCCCCATAGTTGACTGGATAATGTGTCTGGATTCTTGGCCACATTTCTGTTATTTGGAAGACGAGGCTCAGTGGCTGAGCTTTAGGTCTTGGGCTAGGGTTATTTGCCCTGTCCTAATTATGTTGATTCCAATCGTGTGGTTTGCTAGGCAACCAGAAAAACTGGGGTTTGAGCCCTCAAGTCAACAGAATGAATATGCTCAATTCTACTTGAAATGTTTTTCATAATTATTTTAAGCAATGACTTGATTCTTACTTGTGCTTATTCTTTTTAAAAGTATTAGAAAGGAAGATTTCTACAAGACAAAGTAGAGAGGAGCTGATAAGAAGGGGAGTTCTTAAGGAATTGCCTGATCAAGGTGAGGAAATTAATCATACATTTAAAATAATTTGATCCTTCCTTCTTTGGTCTTTCTTTCATTTTCTTTTGAAATTTAAGATGATCATGGTCTTTGGGAAATAAAGTACCACACTCTGAGAATCTTGCTTTAATTCAGAATGCCTTTGTGGGCTGCAGAGAATCTAAGGTTTTCTAGAGAAGAAATTCAAGGACCTTTTTGGTGAGTCCTTCACCATATGTCACCCTAAACCTAAAGCTTTACAAAGCTACTCTGTGGCAGGAGATACAGATAAGATACAAATGCTTACATGATTCATTCTCTATTCTTGAGCTTCAATCTGTCTGTACAAGTAAACTCAATTGTTTAAGTAAATGCAAAGTTTTAGCTTGGCTCATGCCTCTTGGTTTCTTAAGTCTACCAGTAAAAGAAAAGAAAGAGAGAAAAGAGATGGTAAACAGACCTCTCGTCCTTTATACTCTGTAATACACTCAAATGTACGGTCAATAAGCATTAATGGGCAAATTAAATTAATCTGCTTTATGTGTTCTCTCAAGTAATTTTCCCAGCATTGTTCTCTTTTCATTTCTTTGAATCTAGCTCTCTTTCACCATATCACTAACAATTATTATTTTCTAGTGTTTTTTCCCCTACCTCTAATCTTCCTCCCTTTTTTCCTCTATCCTCTCAAGGGGGAATCTTTCTCAAAAAGACAAGGATTAGATAGAAACTGAGATAGACCCTCAAAAGAAATACCAAGATGGTTATTTCTCCAAGTAAATAGTACTGAATGATTTTCATTGCTCCCACTACTATAAAACTAAAGGAAATTTTTGTTGCAACATTGCTGACTTACCTCATGCCTTTTCTCACCCCACCCCTCCAAACATTTACTGGGGTAAAATATTATTATTGTGCTTTTATAGGCACAAATAAAATGCTGTTGATTTGGAATTGAAATAATAGTTCTTCTCATTTCCTGATATATATTCCTTGCAAAGAGCTTAACCTCTTTTGGCATTCACTATTTGTAAATCCAAATGCCACGCTTTTCCCAACATCTGAATATTCTAGAAGGAGCTAGGAGATGCTTTACTGTTTTACTCTTGCAGAGAAAATAGGGACGTCTGGAGTGAATACTGCCATTTTTCTTGAGCCCTCAAAATTTTAGGTATTTTATTTATTGTACTTTTCTCACTCCATTTTATGAAGGAACTTAAAGTAGTCCCTAGTTTTCTATTACCTTGAAGCTAGTCATTTCCTTCCTGGGACTTTTAGAAATAAAAAATGTACATCCTTAACATTTTTGTACTTGAAGGTGGGCTTGCTACTGGCATCAAAGTTTGCTTCCTCCCTAATCTCCCAGGAGACGGCAGAGAAATTACATGTCCACCGAAAGCTCAGTGCTGGGCCATCACCTTTATAGCGTGGGCCAGTGCACTGTTTTGGTGTCCTTTATTTGGAAACCTTTTCAAAGAAAGGAAAAATTTCTGATCAAAACTGTTAATGAGTATTAAAGTTAGAGACTAAAGGCCTCTTTTTTTACCCAATTAAAAATTATAGCTAGAAAAGCGTTTACTTTTTCTAAAGACAAGTGGCAGTGGTCAGCTGAAAGAAATGCTTAATATTGCTTGGTTTTATTTTGCCTAATCTGTTAAACTATTTGCAAGATGGATTACAATTTCATATACTTACTTTCCAGAAATCTGACTCTATTGGATCTTTTTATTGAATGTTTGCAGACCGAACTTGAAAAGTTTTAAAACATAAAATAACAAACAGTCTTTAACCTAAACATAGTATAGTAGGTTTAATGTTTGGGAAGTCATCAATTACAGAGTCTTACTTTCTACTTTTTGCATGGTCCCTATATAGAACTACAGAAATTACCAAATACTTAGAAGTTCCCAGTGAGGCTTATTGTAAATAGAGCCCTTCCCCACTTTCAGCCAAGGGCTGGGGAAAATAGTTTTCTGTCATTTTTCCAAAAACAATTACCTTGAGAATTTTGGTCTGTTTTCAGCTCTAGCCAGAGACTGGAAGCTGCTGTGCTTGGTGAAAACCTCGTCTCTTCTGCCAGTGAAGGTTCATTCTTTGCCTTGATGTTCTGGACCTTGTCTTAGCTCTTGACAGTGCTTGTCAATTATGCCCTTTATTCAGTGAGCCAAATAGACTTTTAAAATCCCGCCAGCTACCCTGGATTTGACCTCATCCCATTCCACCCCATACCTTCACTCCCAGCTATTATTATTCCTTTTAGATGACCATTTTTATGCCAAAATCTAACTTCAATCTAAAAATTCAGTGATTGGCCTTCTCTCCTGAGAAGTCCATGGTCTGGTCCAAGTTTAGTCATCTTCTGGTTCTTAGCTTCCATCTCTTCCCTTAGTTTTAACATGAAGGCACGTAGATGCTTTTGCCTGCATAACAGCCTCCTTTCTTTTTCTCCCATGGTGTCCTCTTTAACCTTCTAATGAGTCACTCAGCTTCTATTCTTGCATGATTTTCTTCTTGTCTCTGTTCCTCTGTTAACTGTATCCCCAATGTACCAGTTTACCAGAAAGAGGGAAATCCCTCAAATACTCTCATGCTTCTTATTTAACTACTTATTTCTGTGTGCTTTATCTCTTGGTTTACTTTAAGCTTACGACTCTTGTCTGAGTTTTCTCCTTCCTTTGCATACAAATGCTCCTGTAAGACTTGGAGTGGGCACATCTTACTGTAACCTGCAGCCTGGCTCAGCATCTTGTCTTGCCTTCCTTTGCTGAGCTTGTACTTTACTTACATACATAAACTATATCAAGGACTTGACTTATTTTAATTCTATTGATAAAAATAATACACAAAACTAGAAAACCTTTTCAATACACACACCAATTAATTAATAATAACTTCAGTTCTCCTCTGTTTTATTCTTGAATTCCGTATTTATTACAAACATGACTCCTTTTTCTATTATTTCCTATACTTTAGCTTTATATCTCAGAGTAAGTATCTTTCTACATTGTTGATTATTTCTTTCTATCATGTGATAATCCAATTTCTTCTTGTGCCCACAATTATTTAATTTTCTCTCTAGGTTTTTTGTTCTGAATTTTAAAAATTAGTTATTTAGTCTACTAAAGAATTTGTAATGTAATAATGGTTAAAACAATTAAATTGTCATTAACATGATTTCAACATGTTTTCATTACCGACTAAAGTCAGAAAATAAAGGTAAATTTATATTTGGGTTACCTAAAAATTGAGGATTTTTATATAAAGAAGTGGTTTTCTATTTTGTCTGGAATTTTCCGTTCTTATATTATTTTTTGTTTTTCTGAATCCAGTACCTGGACATTATATTGTGTCTCCCCTCCCTCTTTTTTTAACTAGCAAATTTCTTGGGATCCAGTAATAAGAACTAAGAATCTTTTGTTTTCTTGTTGGTCTGTTGTATAGTCTTTTAAAAATCATTACCTTAATTTTATTGAAATAGTTGAGATCTACTTGCAATGGCATTGCCTTCAATTATTGTCTATTTTAGTTTTATACAGGAATCGGATTATAGGTACTTGGAAGTTAACGTGACTAAGGAACAGTTGTTCATTTTAAGTATGACATAATTCTGTGACATGTATTTTACTTATTAAAATGCCATGCTTGTTTTTGTCAATAAGGCCAATGGATTTTATTGTTAAGCCAAAGCAATTCAGTCATATTTAATGAAAACTTGGGAGATGGTCTCTGTTTTAGAATAATTGCCAGAATAAGATTAATCAAAAATTGTATAAAATCAGCTCTAATCATGCATTTCTTCAAGTTTGCTAAGTAAAAACTTCCAATCATTAATTTCACTTTTACAGTGGCAGCACAGCTTGTTAAAATTTTCCTGATATGAGCTACGGTTAAGTTTTCAAGCATCACTGAATTAAGAGTTTCAGCAAAATCTCTCTCACTTTAGAAACTCTTAGGAATTTATAAACATTCAGGGGTGTTAAAATTACTTATTTGTGATTTAGATAACATAAATTTTAATTTCAGTTGTGATTTTTTTTTAATTCCCCTGTAATTGCTTTATTTACATTTTTTTCCTAATGTTTTCAAATTATTATTAGCCCAACTTAAAGACTTCCTGGTCAGCTATATATGACAATTCCCTGAGTACATTTTAATATTTCCATAAATAGGAAAATGAAAATACAGTTAGCCTTACTGCCATCTTTCCCTGAATAGAGTAGCAGTTATATTACTGTGTAAAGTTAACATGTCATGGATGTAATATTCTGGAGACAGTGGTGCTTGGAAATGTTCATATTCTCCCACTAATCGTTTGTATGTGTAGTTGCATTTCATGTTATTTGTGTATTTGCATTCACCTTGTGTTTTTGGTGCTTGTTAAAAATGTTTATTCCATTTTTCAGATTCCTTTTTTCACAGGTCAGTTTCTGAATGACAAAGAGACTCCTAAGTATTGACTTCAACCAAAACTAAGCCCAAGAAGAGAGGGACTCTCCTGCCTAGGGATATTTTATAATTAGGTTAATCGTTCCTAACTGTCTTGAGATGGCTCCTGGATACGCCCTCCATAGCTTCTTTCCCCCAAGCCTAAGAATTTTCTAGCTCTTTCATTTGCATGAATTATTCAGTAAAACATGGTGAAAATAGTCCAGGATGTATTTGGTTCCCAGGTCTGAAACATAAACCTGAACCCTACAGTCCTAGTAACTGGAAAATTTGGTTCCATCAAGTTAGACATCTAGGTGTTTCTCTCCCCATTTTTAGATGGAGATGTAACAGTTAACTTTGAAAATTCAAACGGGCACATGATACCCATCGGAGAGGAATCTACCCGAGAGGAAAATGTAGTAAAATCTGAAGAAGGTAATGGCTCTGTAGCTGAAAAAGCACCACCTCTGGAGGAAAAGGCAGAAGATAAGAAAGGTAAAATCAAGAGAAACCCCATATTCTTTTACAGCTCAAAGTTGAGAAGCAGGTCTTAGGCTTCAGATAGTGACCCTAAGACCAGTAGAGAGGAGTTCTGCAAATACAAAGAGGAGAGAAATGATAACTAGCAAAGAGAAATTGGATGGTTTCCTCAGGTAGCTACATCCATTTTATAAGCACATCATTTAATGTTTTATTAAAGGGGGCTAATTAATAGTAAGAATCGGAGGGGTTGGCCTCTTCTATCATTAGAGATGTCTGGGAATGTTATCCTTTCCTCAGGAGCTTTTTCTCAGTATCTTTTTTTTTTTTTTTTAATTTATTTTATTGATTTATTTTTGGCTGCATTGGGTCTTCGTTGCTGCATGCGGGCTTTCTCTAGTTGCAGCGAGCGGGGGCTACTCTTGGTTGTGGCGCGTGGACTTCTCACTGCAGTGGCTTCTCTTGTTGTGGAGCTTGGGCTCTAGGCGTGCGGGCTTCAGTAGTTGTGGCACGCAGGCTCAGTAGTCGTGGCACAAGGGCTTAGTTGCTCTGTGGCACGTGGGATCTTCCTGGACCAGGGCTCAAACCTGTGTCCTCTGCATTGGCAGGTGGATTCTTAACCACTGCGCCACCAGGGAAGCCCCTCAGTATCTTTTTAAAAAAAAAAAAAAAGCCAGCAGTCTGAACATCTTTCTCTGCTGGTTACTTTCAAATTATAGCAGCTCAGCTTGGAGGAACAGCATAACAAGATGGCTCGCTCAGCCCAGCATTATCTCTTTAGAAGTGGGAGCTTGGCTGGTGGCATCCGCACACCCAACACTGTAAGTTCTGGTCCAGGTTCAGGCATTTCTGGGAGACCCAGGATAGTTCCCAGTAATGCCAGGGATTCTGGTTGCTGGAATGGCCATAACCTCTGCTCCATGATTTGTCTGTGCAATTGGAAATTTCAAAATACGCCAGAGGCAATTATGCCATTCCCTGAAGCCTTCTTTAGAGACTTTGGTTTCCAAAGTGGAATACTATGGTAGATTGCAGAACTGCAAAATACTTGTCTATCAAGGACCCCCAGAACAAGTTCCTGGTCACTGATTGACTACATCTCCATACCATTCCTATCACGGTTGCAGGAACCCCCCAAGCCCCTTACTTATGCAAACCTGAACTGAAACCCCCGTAAGGTAATGCTTTGTTGGGAGACTCTAGATGATTTCCTGCTGCATAGAAATGAATCCTCAGAAAACATGCTGTTTTTCCATAATGTCTGCCTCTGAGCTGGATGGCATAAATTTGTCAAACCTAGTTTGGGCTCTCTAGGCATTTTGAGAACTCTTAGAAACTGCTGGAAGGAAACTTCTCTTCCTCTGTTCTTGACCCAAATCCTCCAAAGGCAAAGGGAACAAAAGAACATTTGACAGACACAACTTAAAATCATCTTCTCAGGAAGTGCATAACCTCTTATTATTTGAATATAAATTAGCCTTTAAAAATTTTAGAAGCCTCTATTAACAATCTGTTGGAAATTTATTATTTTGCTTTATTCCATATTAAGTATGGTACTCATGGGGCTTTACTTAGTGTTTCCATTGAAGGGCTCTGGTTATGCTTAAGATCATATGTTAGTTGATTTTTCATAACTGATTATGAGAAATTAAAATTTTTAATGATAATATTCCTGGAACATAAAACAGACTTGAATAGAGTTTAAGAGTTTTCAGTTGAAATGCAGTGATTTCTTTTTTTACTTTTTTATTTTTTAGTCCAACTGTCCTGTCTCACCATGTTGTTAAATTTCAAATCCATCTGTGCTTTGTCCCTGCTACAGCCTTTTCACATTCAAAATCACATCCTTCATTATGTAACAGTGCCATCTCTAGTGCTTGCCTGGTCCGTGTGGAATGTCAGTCAGTGGACTGGACGGACTTCAAAGGCCGTATTTCCCTTATCAGCCTAATAAAAAGTTGCTGACAGTTTAATGTTAATTAAACCAGCAGGCCTGATGTTCCAAAAAGATGGCAGGCTTCATAGGTTCATGGATATTTGAGAGATGTTTTTGTTTTCTTATTTTTTCTTTGGATTAGTACATTCAGTTCTTTTTGGTCAAATAAGGTCCAAGATAACGTCTTGCTTGGCTGGTCTGTACATAAGGAGATGGGAAGGCTGGACATGGTGCCCCAGCACCAGTAAGACAGAGGAGCCTCCCACTCGCTATGTAGACAGTGGCCCCCCGCTGGAGCCACACTGAGTGAGGGGAAGCATTTGGTATGGAAACCACTTCCTGACAGTAAAAAGAATGTCACTCCTGACCAACATCATGGAGTATCCTGTTAAATAGAAAATATCTTATAAACAAACCATTCGTTGCTCTGGAAAGACAGCATTTAAGACTGAAAAAACAGCTTAAGAGTTACTCTTACCTCTGCTCCTCTTTTGATCTCATTTCATATTTGAACTTACTACCGTGCAAATCTACTCTCCCATGTTCTCAGTTTACCCTTTTTTTTGGGGTGCAGTGTGCCCCTTCCTTTTGCATTAAGTCAACTTACCCAAGAACTTCTTTTCATATATTAACTGGTTATATTTGCAAAGCCAAATCACATACCATCCTAGATGCTTGTATCTCTTTTTGAGACAGCACGTCAGTACTTTAATATTTGAAACATCAGCGTCAAAGAAAACAAAACAAATGTCAAGTGGCCTTCCCACTGCTCTGGGGGCAGGTTCTACGTAGGACACGTGGTGTTCCTGGGGCTCCTGAGGGCACCTGATTCTGAGTTAGGGTGGTGGTCTTGGGCCTCTTCTGTCCAACACTGGAAACTTTTTCCTGAAGGCCTTCGGGCCTCTTAGTCTCCCATTATTCCTTATCAATAAATCTATATATAAGCAGAAAAACTGATCTGCAATCTGTTAAATATAGCTTGGTATTAAATATGAGAAATCTGAAAAGTATCCAATATTATTTCTGTTGAGTCATTGTAGAGGCCTTTCCATGAAGTAACAAGTATCTTACCTGCATTTGTTCCCCACGTGAGCATGAAGGGCAGCCATGGGGGCCAGGGAACGAGCGCACTGTGCATAAGAAACAGCCTTTGCCTTCAAGCAGATCGTGACCTATGTGGAGACCAGCACGTACACAGGCAATTGTAATACAAGATGAAAAGTGCTCTGGGAGGCCCGAGGACAGAAAACCAGGGAGCTTGCAAGTGGGACCAAAATTGGGTCTTAAGAGGAAGATATTTCTAAACTGAGACCTGGAGGAGATAAGAAGGATGCAGTCAGACAAAGGAGAGGAATGGGGGCAAATGCATTCTAGGCAAAGTGAAGGCCGCCTGCAGTTCTCAGATTTGCTCTAAGTGTTTTTGGACTCGACTCTCCATGTGGTGGAAGGAGGCAAATTTGGAAGTGTAGTCAATAGCTCACCTCCAGACCATTGTTATGAGATGTAGTATCCTCATCAAGCCAGAGTGCATAGGCAGCCCTTTCTTAACCTTCTCTTGAAAAGGTAATACTTCTGTACACCACCAATTTACGTCTTTTCTTCAGATCGTATGCTAATAGTAAAAAATACCTCTTGACATTATTCATTATCTCCCAGATACAAGAGTTCACTTCCCACGGATGTGTGTGTGTGTGTGTGTGTGTGTGTGTGTGTGTTAGTAACTATCAGCTGATCAGTCACATTCACTGAATAGACATAATGTTTAGAGCATCTTGCTTGATGGAATATAAAATTTCAGACAAAAGCAGTTTATAATTTAGTCAGAAAAGTATACTGTTTGCGTGCGTGTGCTCACGCACACATACACACACACATATACCCGTTAGGAATCACTGCAGAGTAAACATAAACATTGGCCATATGGCAAACACACACAGATAATTTGATAGAATTTACAGAGGAGGGAGGAGTGGACCACGCTTCTCCAGGAGTAGCCGGAAGTTTGCGTGTAGTATGTACATTCTCAACCCAGTAGGAATTGTCATTTCCAGCTGTCATAGAGTGAACCATCTCCCTCCCAAACTCAGAAACTGGATTCTTTGGGATATAACTTTAGAATTTAAAAACCTTAGGCAGACAGAAAAAAGATCCTTCAGTAATATGCCATGAAGGCACAGGATAAGAGGTGTGAGGCTTTGTAGCAGGAGAGAGAATTAAGATACCAAGTGGTGCAGATCACTGTGACTGGCTTTCACCATGGATGGTGTTATTGGTGGATCTCCATTATGCCAGGGGCTAAAGGTACAAAGATGGACTTAAAGAACAGGCCTCTAACCCAAGTCAAAAGACTAGCAAATCAATGTACATTTGTATGTTTTACATTAAAATACAGTGTTTTCAGTGACTGTCAACTTGTATTGTTCTCAACTCTGACTCTTGCAATATAGTGGCCTTGTGGTTCAGACCTGGTGGGTTAGGAGCGCCACTCCTGTATTATGGATGCTAAGCAGCTTAGTTGAAGAGACGAGATATATAAACAGAAAGGCAGGCATACAAAGTAGCCTCTGATAAATGTTGACTAAGTAGCTCAGATAATGAGTACAATTAAGTGCAGGAGTCCGTCTGGGCCGCAGTGACTGGAGTGGGTTGCATGACTGAGGGAAGGTAAAAGAAAAGTTTTATTCATTACATACTGAAGTTTCAATCATTTTAATGGTAGTTATACATGTAGAATGATGGAGATGTAAAAAAAGGGGGAGGAGTCCTCACTTCACACTCACTGGGATGAGAAATGAAACAAAAGAAATAATAAAATGTGATGCATTCCAACATTAAAATCCTTTCTTGGTCATTTGATAATAGAAGAACATATTCAGTAAAGGCTCAGTCTTGTCTTAACGCTGTCTTACACTTTTTGTTGTGCTCCATTTTGAAATGCTGCTTAGCTCTTTGGACCCAAAGTGTTTTTGTTTTTGTTTTTGTTTTTTTTTGCGATACGTGGGCCTCTCACTGTTGTGGCCTCTCCCGTTGCGGAGCACAGGCTCCGGACTCACAGGCTCAGCGGCCATGGCTCACGGGCCCAGCCGCTCCGCGGCATGTGGGATCCTCCCGGACCGGGGCACGAACCTGTGTCCCCTGCATCGGCAGGCGGGCTCTCAACCACTGCGCCACCAGGGAAGCCCCCCCAAAGTGTATTTTAATTTTAACTAGTCACAATTAGAAAAGATAAGGATGTGAATATGTGGATGAATGTTCAGCATCCCCACTTTTTAAAATGAGAAACTAATACTACTCTAGTTATGCAAAAATCTTGTGTGAGACTTCTTTTCTTTGGTATGATTTTTTAAATGAATTTTAACGTTTATCTTTTTAAACTCATTACTTGTGTTTACACTACAAAACAAATTTGATATTTTTTTTGGTTTCTGCACCCTCCAGTACCTACAGTTGTGACACAGTTTGAAAAGGTCAGAGGAAGTTATTGTAAAACAGGAAGCTGCCCTAGTGCACTGGGAGAACTTGAGAAAATTTTAATAATAGAAAATAGTTTATTCAGTGCATTGTGCTTCCTGTACCAGATTCTAGCTTAGCTTAGAAAATGATTGATTTTTGACCACAGTGAGACAGAGACAGAGCACAGATCCCTTTCAGGTTGATGGGGCTTGAGTTCTCCTGAGAAAGTCCCTCAGTGGAGGGTAACTGTGAGTCCAACCATTGCTGTGCTGTCAGCCTCACCCTGTGGCCGTGTGTGTAATGTGCTGATATGCCACTCTTGGAGTCCTTCAGTTTGGTTAAAAACTTAGCGCTCATGCCCACATCATCATCCAGCAACCACAGATTCGAGGTTGGTGTCAGCCCCTGGTGGTGGACATTTACGCTCACCCTGAACTTAACTTCATCACAGTCACTCGTGCAGTCTTATTTTATCACAGGAGTGATTTTTGAACCTGGAGAGCACACCCTAGTTTGGCTTTTAGCCTTTGATCTTCTTTACCCCAACCTTCACTCTTTCTGGTGCAGAAGCCCACTGGTTCCCAGGGGCCAAGCAGCTGCACGTTTGTCTCACTGTTGCACTGTGTCTCGCTCCTTCTATTTGCATGGTGTGTATGGTGTGTGTCTGTATCAGTCTGCTTCTGTTCACTTTCTCATTTGTAGAGAACCCTGAAAACCACTCTGAAACACCGGCAGCTCCTACTCTACCTCTTCCAGCTCTTCCTAAACCTACATCCAAACCTAAGCCCAAAAAAACACCTGTGCCTCCAAAAGGGGCCGCTGCCGGCCCCAAGGGTGACGAAGTGCCTCCTATTAAAACAATTACCAAGGCTCCTGGTAAGCAGGCCCCTGTCCCTCCACCCAAGCCAACAAGCCGAAATGCAACCCGAGAGGCTGGTGAGTATGCCCTCTGTGGGGTTGAGTCTAGGGTGCTTGGCTCTGGGGTGGGGCTAATTTCTTCTTCTAGGAATGATGGCCTTTTTGGTGTCTGCTCTCTTAGGATGTAACACCAGTGGACTCAGCTTTGACACAGAGAATGCCCGGGAGATTCCTTTGTTGCTGTCTCTACCAAAGAAAAGTCAACCACTTGATCCATTCACCTCATTAGGTTTAGGGTGAATAGGTGTCTTTCATCCTGAGTATCCACTATCTGCACAAAACCCAGTAGAAGGAAACAGGCAGTAGTCTGCCTGATGAATAGCGATGATGTGATCTGACGTTATTTAGACATCAACTGGCCTGCCTATTTGAGTTTATGGGTGGCTCTTTGGCTTGGGTTTTCTTTCAGAATATCTTAAGTTTGCACATAAAAACATGATGCTTACCTCTTTGACATATTTGCTGGATCTTAATGTCTTAAATCTTATAGTCATCTCTCTACTGACAAATGACAAAGGGTTCATATACTCAGTGTTCCATGCCACCACTCTCTACTGGAGTCACAGCTGCACAGCAGAGTTGGAAGTTACATGCTTAGTGCCCCCTTCCCAACCTCATAGACTTCAGTGTGTTACAAGGGAAAGCATCTAGTGGAGCGATTACAAGCTGTGACTGCAAATCACCGGGGGATGTTTGGGTGATTACATCACTTCATGTCATGTGTGTCCAGCTTTCCATTCACATCAGATATGCTTAATGCACAGTGGACCCCCCATTCTAGTGAAGTGGAATAAAGAAGCCTCTCCTGCCATCCAACCTTTAAAAGGTTATTATTCCAAATACACATGCTGAGCATCTTTTTCCCATTAACACATGCATAAAAATTCTCCTGTGTTATAGCAAACCTTACTTTCTTTAAAATCAGCAGCAGCTTTCTCAAAACCACCTACCAGGTTATGCCTTGGTATTAACCTTTCCCCCTTGTAATTTAAACCCATAATGCTCAGATTCAGAGAGTGGTTTAGGTGACAGTATGACAGAACTCAGAATGCAAGTAGATGTCTGTGTCTTGGTGTTCCTGTCTACCACCTTTGACCTTGTGTGTCTGGGTCTCATTTTCTAATAAGCTCTCAAATGAAAATCTCAGAATGCTTTGCCAACAGTGCCTACAGGCCATTTTCTCAGGGACCAGCTTCCATCACACATCAGTGTCTGTTCTCGTTGGTGTCTGTGTGTGTTTCCCAGACTGCCTAGCACACCTCAGGAGCAGTGCTTGAAGTGAGGCAGGTGCTGATTTACTTCCTGAAGTAAAGCCCTAAACTCTCACCCTGTCCTTGGGAGTGAGGACCCACTTCCCCACGCCCCATGTGGCAGCAGCTCACAGTTGACTCGGCTTGCCCTCTCTCTTACTTCTCTCAGAAGAAAGCTGGTGATTAACACCAGGGCAGGTGACAGCTTTCATGAGAGATTTGGAGTTATTTCCAGATATTTTACTTGAAGATTTTTTATAGACTTATGATGTTCCTAAGAGGAAAGTACAGTCATGTTATCCATTGTATTAAAAGAGGCCCAACTGGCGCTTAGTGTGAAAAAGTTTGCTGTTCTCAGTTTATCACAGAGAAACAGGAGTTGCCTTGAAGTCTACCAACAAGCCCAGTGTGCAAGGATCTTTTTTTATCAAATATTGATAATGCTCCTTCAGAATCCTACTCACATTCCATTTGTAACCATTTAGAACTTTCTACATGGTAACTTTGTTTTATTTGAATAAAGTTGACCTTCTGGAAAAGTTACTTCAAATGTCACTCCTGATTTTCAGTCAGACATTTAATCTCTTAAAAAAATTTATTGGTTCAGATTCTTCCTCTGTTACTAAGTTAGTGTAGACCTCCAGATCACCAGATTTCAGGTTGGCACATTCGCCTGCTTTGCTAGTGAAGTAACATCTCATATATTTTTTCTTTCTCGTTACACCCTGTGTTAACAGCACAAGTATTTAACTGAGGAGAGGTGGCATTTCTTTTTTAGTCATGGCTATAATTCAAGGTAACTTAAGCAACATTTCGGCAAAATCCTCATTTTAGACGACACTTAAAAGAGAAATATAGTAACATGGCTTGAATTTGCACTCTAGGCATAAAAAATTTTTTTCCTTAAGCAAGGCTGAAGTTAACTTTGCTGTTAGAAAAACAAAAAGACTTTTCTACAAGAAAAAATTATTAGAATTGATGTGTGGAAAAGATTCTGTTCAATTTCCCCAAGAAATAACTGAACATGTTTAGACAGCAAGTCCCTAGCATCTTGGTTGTGAAAGGTAAATTTGGAACGGACTTAGATTGTAGGAGTATGCTTAATACGTTTGTCCTATAAGCAAATGAGGATTGTTTATTTCAAAGAAACATTGACAGGCCCTGATATGGGGGAGGGGAATTCTCATAATTACGGATATCTAAAATAATAAAGCCCCCAAGCCATAGAGACTTGTTTTAAGCCTGCATCTGTGTCACCAAGGGAGACTGCCTTTTTTCAGTAGATCAGAGCTAGTGAAGTCATACAGCTCATTGTCTATTCCTTTATCTGTTCTTCCTCTCCTGACCCTCCCAACTGACTTCAATAAAGTTATAACCAGAGGTAAGTTACAATAAATAACATCTGTATGCAGTGTGGATTGGCTCCACAATACTACCAAGATTTTTCTAGTTCTTCTATGGAAGATAGTTTGACCCCTCAGGAAAAAGAGGGAATATACAACATTGTAACAGAAAAAGCAATTAGGAGAAATGTATCGATCCTAAAGGTCATAGGAGTTTAAATGTATTTCCTGTGATGAGAAAAAGAAGAGAAGAGTTGACTTTTTTTTTGCCATAGCCATGGCCATCCTCTGATGAAGGCCCTCTAGGAACATAAGCGGTTTTAGAAGCTCTGAAAATGATACTCTTTCCCTTCAGATTATTCAAA